ACATATGGTATTAAGAACTCACAGGCCAAGTGGTGCCTAATCTCTAATTTAAATACAATAAGGTATTGACCTTATGTGAAGACAACACAAGAACTTTTTGAGGAACTGCTGAGTAGAAAACTGTCTTAAGGGAAGCAACTGTGGCTCCATAGATAAATGACATACCGCTATCAACCAAGTGCTCTGGAGAACCATGACCTGGTAGGTACCTAAAATCACAGACCTACTGCTTCTGAAACAGAAGTCATCCACTTTCAATCCTGCCTAAAGGGCTCCAAGATTCTGACTCCGACTCCTACTCTGGTAGGACCACGTTTATCTAAAGCAGACACTCCTAAACCACATTGCTTTACACTGATATCCAAGCATGTCTTGCTCACTCTGTCCTCCGGGCTGGACATGCTCTCCTCAAAAGTCCTTGGACAAAGCAATGAATCCTTCCCTCTTTCAATTCCCTCCACTCACGTCTTTCTTGTTCCTCTAAGTCTCCTCTTGCATCTCCCCATGCTCTGAATTCTGAACAAAGCTCTTCTATCTTCACCTTGACAACATATGCACTTGAATTCCAAGTTTCATTATTTCTTATCTTAACCTTTTTCTTGCTTTGTTTTATCCTACCTTTGAGAGGGAATTGTTGCTTGGCTATTTCTTTCATTTCACTTCTCTAGGAGCATCTTTTAAGCCCATAACAACTGAACAAATCTTCCACATGAAGTATCTGGGGTGCATTTTAAATTCTATATCCTTTCTTTCAGGGCCAGTAATACAGACTTCAGTTGCTGGATGGGAGAAATGTTTCCTTCCCTATTCTACCTAATTAAGGAAATATGTCAAAACAGCTCCCAAAAAGAATGCATGTGTTAAACAAAGAATTAAATATTTGAAAATCAGAAGAACCACTTGGTCCTATTCACAATAAAGATTAAGAACAAAGGGAAAGAAAAAAGAGAAATGGAATAAATAAGTCAGAATTCGATCTAGAATAAATATAAAAATCTCTAGTTAAGACTTCAGGATGAACGCTTAAACCATGATTCTGGTGAAATCAAGGCCATCTGGCATAAATAGATTCTTTAAGTCACATTTCCAGGATTTGCCATTTTGCTACCAGACAAGTCCATCAAGGAAAAAAAAAATGAGACATAAAAAGTCCATGCCAAAACAAACAAACAAACAAACAAACAAACAACACACACACACACACACACACACACACAAAAACCAAAAGCCAAAACCCAAAACAAAAAAAGAGGAGGGGAGGAGGCTTTGCCATGGTGCAAATAACTCGGATACAGAGTGCTTAGTGCTCAAAAACACTGGGTAGGGCTAAGTAGGAGAGCAAACCATAGCACATACAAGGCCTTCAGCCAATGTCAGCAGCACAAAAGTGGGAAAGATAGAAAAAGGAAAATGCTCCACATATGCAGGCTAACGCTGGGGCTCTTTGGGGATGGACTCGTAAACACAAGGCATTACTCAAAACCAGACCGTTTATGTCTTAAATTTGCAGTCTCTCAAAGGAAAGGCCAGCAACCTCTTAAATAGTGGAGGGCAAATAATACTAACTTTGCCCTGCCATGTCAACAACAGTCAGAGAAACAGAACACAAAGAAGAACTCACTTCTCTTCAGTCCATGGTATCTCTTTGAGAACCAAGCTCCTGGGTTGGCATGGTGCTACTCACCCATATGCAAACTTTTGGGAAGCTGAGGCAGGAGGATTGTGAGTTTGAGGACAGCCTAGATACAGAGACCCCCCCCCCCGTCTCAATAGTAGTGTAGTAGCAGTAATAGTAGTAGTCATTGTAGTAGTAGAAGAGAAAGTAAAAAGGAGGAGGAACCATATTCCTATGGGCCTGATTAATATGAGAGGCATCTAGAAGTAAAATGTTATCTGAACTTGGCTATCTGCCTTCAAGAATCAAATAAAGAAACATGTTTACAGAGAAAGCACAGCTGCTCAGCTAGGCTGGATACCTGCTTTGGGTCCTTGGGATGTTGCACTTCTCTCAGTGGATTATTTCTATAGTCTATAAAGAACAAAGATGAAACTGTAAAAAGATGGATAAACGATTTGGACCCTAGGCCTCCTGAAGAGGACAGCATCACTTCCCCCCTATGGCCTGTCACAGCAGTAGAACAGTACTACAACCACAGTATTTTAGTCTTTTGGCTCTATTTAGAAATGCTTAGAGATTCTTGACTATTGATTCATCCAATGAGCATTTGTTGGTGCTTCCCTACAGTTGACATTGTGAGTAATTAAATTAGCAAGATAAGTGGTTTATGTGTGTGTCAAAATGTCATGTAAGTACCAGGCACAGATCCTAAGACAATGTTTCTCACTTGGTAAGTAATCAACATTAATGTCCTTTACTGCTCTTTACATGTTGAGGATCATCTAGTAGGGGCAAACAAACAGACACTTCATTATACTGCCGTTTGTGCGGTGATGAGATGATACAATGGGGTGTATGATACAGAACATGGGGGTAACGAGGAGTCTCAGGCAGCAGTTGACCTGACAGACACTGTATCACACAGAGAAATAAAAGGAACTCAGAGTACAGTGGATTTGCATTTCAAGAAACAAAAAAGATCTGGAAAAAAATCTCACCCTGTTGATAAAAGGGGCAACATTAGTTTCAATGGGAACTACCTTCTCCTCGCTTTGCTTTCGGGAAGAAAATTCAAAGTTAAGCAGAGAAATTGATTTTTACTAACAGACACAAAAGAAACTCTAACTTCTGTCACAAACAAGACAAATGAACTATTATTGCAACATCCAAAAAAAGAAAAAAAAAAAAAAAAAAAAAAAAAAAAGGAAAGAGAGAAAAGACAAGACCCTTGGGTAAGAAGTTTTACAATCATCCTGTTTCTAGGTCGAATTTTCTCAGAAGAGACAAAGAAAAACCCGGGAACACATTTCACACCATTAGAGTTTGTTAACACACAAACAGCCAGGCTAACATGATAGGAAAAGGATTGGACTGGGGGGAATAAATGGAAAATTATGACTCATGAGTAAAAAAAAAAAATGATACATTTTTGAATGCCCTGAGTTTAAGTAAGGTAAAAGCAAAAAATTAAAATTACAAGAATGATAAAGGAAAGAATCATTTTTCATTTTTTCTCCACAAGAAAACATTCCTACATGCTTCAGAAAAACAATTCATATTTTCATGTGTCTAAACAAATGCTAAATGAATTCCAGAATAAAAAGAACTATATAACTAATTCTATACAAGACAGAGTGAGAGGTAAGGGAAACTTTCCCACATAAAATAAACGACCTCTTTGGTTTTCTTCATAAGCCACGGATGGAGGGCATCTTAAAATTCTATAAATAGAATCAAGAATGCTACTTGTGTATGTATGTTTTAAGAACTGAAATCATCATGCAGAAAGGCATGCAGGCGGCACACTAATGTCATTACAATATAATTGGACTTGCAGGAACGATCATTGTGCTGTGCTGTGCTGTAAGGGGAGCTGTTGGCACGCTAGAGCACAGTGCTCATCCGCCAGCCTCAGCAAGACCCACTTCCAACGAGAAGCAGCCATGTTTCAACACCTCTCATCCCTGATGCTGACAAGTTAAAGGACTTGTTTTGGTGATTATCTGCTTACAATGAATACTGACTGCATCTGAGAAAGGTACTGTGGAACCAGAACAGCATCCTGTGGCCTCTGCCTGCAGCCACCACTTGGCCTTTGAATTCCGAAGGTGCTAGAAAGAGGGAGGACTGCAAACTAGAATCAAGAGGAAGGTATTCCCCACCACCTCCACCCCATGTAACAAATACAGGAGAAAACAGCAACAGACAAGAGGTCCTTTTTAACCTCTGGTCTCCATTCAAATATAATTACAAGAAGACGAGTGTTTTAAAGGTCAGTAATAATCATATAGACAAATCTGTCCCAAGGGTGTGAGTGAGACTTAGGGAACCATTAGTGTCCTCAAGTCCCAGGTTGAAAATTTATCCCAAATTGTCAGTTCTCAGGAACTGCACCTCAGATTAAAATCACCTCACCAGGGAGTCTCTAAGAATGTGTCCTTGTTCTAAATCCTAAGTGCTTGTTGAACTGCCAGCACTTCAAAACTAGAGACCATTGAACAATATAAGACAGCGAGCGATTAAAACCACCAAATTCACAGTCAAAGCAGCTTAAGCTACATTTTAATTAAAAATAAAATATTTTGGCTAAATTCAGATGTCTTAGCTACCCCAAAGTCTCCTCCAAATGCAAAGTGTGGCTGAAAAAGTCAAAGAAGGCACGGGGTAAGAGGTGGGCTGGGCAGGAGCTCTGAGTAGTCTCCAGGCCAGGAGCATCCTGAAGCCAACCTAGTTTAGCCAGTGCACATTCAGAAGTCCCCCTGAGCTGCAAGGCAAGGACACCATGCAGCTGCCACTGAATAAGCTTTATTAGCAGGGGCCTCTAAGGAGACAGGGCGTATTCACCTTCTTGGCAGGAGTGAAGTAACAGCACAGCAAGACAGCAAGGCTTCTGAGGTGTAGAGATGGCTAAAGGAAGTGCTGGCACTTTTAAACACACCTTAAGCTAACAAAAACATTTCTTGAGTGATCATAAGCTCTTGGCAAAGGAGCCTGGGTGCTTCTCAGTTAACAGCATGATTTGAGATGGAAAGAAAGTTTTACTGCAAAGTTAGAAGTAAATAAACATTGCAGCTTTTAGTTGTTCCTACTTGTTTAAAGTCAAGGAGGGCCGGGGGCTTAGTCAACTTCAGGCAAGAGGCCAAAAACCATGAAGATCAGATTTAAGGTGGGGATGATGTCATTCACAATGAAGTCTTGATTTTTCTTTCTGAAGCATGAGAAATGTTACTGGTAAAACTTTACCTCACCTACAGCTTTGTTTTTTTTTTTTTTTTTTTTTTAACTCTATTTTTTTTTTCTTTCAAGAATGATTTTCTAAGTATGTTTCCTGTCTTATATGCAAATTTTATGAATTTGCTTTCAGCTTTAGCCATGGTCTCACCTAAAAAGCTTGCCCTAAAGTAAAGAACGGGCACTTGGTAGCTGCAGGAGTATAAGACATGATACTCATATTTAATCACTTCAGATGGTGATGCAGACTCCATCGCTTCAGAATCATCCACAGGTAGCTCTAAATTCTCCTGAAAAAAAAAATGCAGAGATAAAGCCAAACTGTGTTTGTCAGTTTTAAAAAACAAGTACAATTGTGGGCAGGGAAAGATTTTTCTTCTTGCAAAATAACAGTTAAGTAAATACAAGGCTATGAGGAAAGAAAAAGGAGTCACCCACACTAAAACTTAACATTTGATTCCTAGGTAAACAGTACAACCAGAAAACATTAGCATTTAGTAAATCCAGATTGTTCTAGGGAAGCAAAGCAGCTCTGGGTAGAGATGGGGGTGGGGAGTGGGGAGCCGAGGTGGGGGGTAGGAGCTGGGGAAGAGACAGGGGCAGGGACAGGGGCAGGGGCAGTACAAGAACTACTACAGCAGCAACTCTGAAGTCTTCACTGTGATTTCAGCAACAAGATGGTGTCTATGCCAGCTTACCTTATTCTTTACCTGTGAGAGCTAATACCATCCTAACAATCGAGCCAAGGCTAGGAAATGCCCCTGAAGGTTCTATTGTACTTGCCCAAAGATGATTCATTGTGTGCTGAATGAACAATCCCCAGTTCCATTCTAAATAAGAAAGTTATTTTGCAAGGGTCTGAGTTTGTTAGGTGCATTTCAAGTCCCGAGTGATTCTGTTGTCTTCATTATTGTGAGTATTTTTGATAATGTTCAATAATACATGCTGATTTAGAGTAGAGCTGCTGGCACATATTGATAGGAAGTTAAACAAGGCTTTGTAAGCAGCTTTGTGAGAGTCATTCCACTTCTCAACTAATTGTTCTGTACTGGCTGCTCTCTCTCTCTCTCTCTCTCTCTCTCTCTCTCTCTCTCTCTCTCTCTCTCTCTCTCTCTCCCTCTTTCCCTCCTCCCCCTTCTCATGCACAGACATTTCTTAAGAACAGATCTTGACATGTAGAAGCAACTGATTGGATGGACATGTCGAATCAGGGTTTCTGGGTGCATCCATGTGCACGTATTTACTTGGGCTGAAGAATTTCTCTTTGAAATTAAACTAGTAGGAGGAATGAAGCAAGTGGGTTTGGCTCATTTCAGCTTCTCATTAAAACAGGAGTAACAAGGAACAGTCAGAAAGAACCAAAGAAGATATGGCAAACTTTGTCAATAGGAAATAAGGTTGCCTGTGGAAATAAGGAAGCGGGCACTGTTCTCCAGATCTCTGTCTCCCTTACTAATTCCCCACCCACAGTTAGCTGGCTGGAGAGACACCATAGTGGGCAAGTCACAATGGGAGTATTTATACAATAGTTTTAACTAAACACCTGTAAACATTGTCAGCTAAACACACTGAATTAAATAACCAGGGAGAAATCATTGAACTAAACATTCCAGATAACAATGAACACAATAACAAGAAAGATGGGTTTTTTTCTTGTTTATTTAATTTTAGCCATGAGCATCGAGATCTGTTACAATAAATTTTTAATCAATTTTTTTCTCGTTGGTCCATAACTGGGTTGAACAAATTTCTTTTGTTCAACATAATAAAAGCATTATAACTTATTTAGGGTTGTATCTTAAATGTCCCCATAAGGCCATGTATTAAAGGCTTGGTTGTCACCCATGGCCTACTTGGAGGTAGAAGCTTTAAAAGAGGTATACTTTCAGCCATGTTTGCTGGTGATGCAACTTGATACAGCTTTTTGCTGAGGACCTTTTGCCAGTATATCTTAAGTTTGCAAACATACCAACTCGTTGATACACTGGTTTCACTACTGGAAGTCTGCACCACAGAAAATCCAGAGTATTAAGGTCATAGGAGCAGGATATTCATTGCAGCTTAATTTAGTAGAAGAATATTACGTAATCAATCTAAAATATTTAGTAATAAAGAAATGTTGTTTTGTTTTGTTTTTTTACAATGCTGGCTATGACATAGTTCTGCAATGGCATAAAGCAGAGGCCTTAAGTTTGCAATGACATAGCAGAAGATGGCAAAAATCTGTATATGACCATAGTATATATAACATGGTTTAATGGAGAAGAGGTAGAGGGTGAAGAAGAGGTACATATGTGTGTACTAAAACATCTGGAAAAGCAAACCTTGCTTGTTTAAAATGCTTACAAATCTGAAGTGGTGAAGGGCTAAATGTGAGGACTCTCACTGTTTATGTATTTGTACAGTATAATGCTTTTTAAATTTTTAAATGACTACATGTATTAGTCAGCTTTCCAACAAGACAAAATAGCTGAGGAAAATAAACCTACAAAGAGGAAGAAGTTATTTGACTCCTACTTTCAGTCCACAGTTGTGTGGCTCTGCTGCCTTTGGGCTTGTGACAAGACAGAATGCTACGGCTGAGTCTTCCATGAGGCCCCCTCATCCACATATAATACTGAGTATTGGTTTCGTTTTGTCTACTTGATGAGTTTTTACATTTCAGTGTTGTTTTAATTTCTGTTTCTTGTGTCTTTCTAAAGGCAAATGTCTACTTGTATGTGATTGGTAATGTGTATTCTTCTGTGGAGTGTTTGCTATTTAGTTTGCATTTTCTTGTGAGATTAATAACTCTTTACATATTAGAAATAATAACTTATCAGAGATGAATATGTTTGTCTGCACCCTAGAAAAATTAACTTGCAAAAGAGTATGTGTGACACCTACATAGATGTATATTTTTACTCAGTTTTTTTGCAATTTATTGAACTTTTATTACAAAGTTTTTTTAATATTTATACAGTCAAACTTGCACATTTTCTGTTTGCAGCTTCTGAGTCCCATGCATTCAGTAGAAAGTCTCTCGCATAACCCAATTTTTCTCCAATAATCATAAATATAAATATATTAATCTTTTAGAAAGACAAAAGTTTTAAAATTAATATTTAGATCATTAATCTATCTAAATGTTCATTTTGCCTATATTCCCAGATGCTTTTGAGACAGGGACTGGCAATACAGCCCAGGCTAGACTCAAACTCATGATCTCATTGTCTCAGCTTCCTAAGAGGGAAGATGACAAGCTTGTGGCACTGTGACCAGCTTCTCAAATGTTCTTTAGTGCATCCTTTTCTCTTGGATTTGAAGTGCTTCTATGACTATAATTTAAAGGTGTGGAGGGTATATATATGTTTATAATCTTGAGTTACTTTTCATCTTAGACCACCACTGATGTGTGTGTGTGTGTGTGTGTTGCATGTACCCACAGGCACATGTGAACAAGTGAAGGACAAGTCTCCTCCTCTACTGCTCTCTTTCCTATTGCCTTGAGACAGAGTCTCTCACTAAACATGAGTTATCAGAGAATTCTGGTAAGTGCCTATATCTATCTCCCCCAAATGCTAAGATTATAGGGATCCACATGCCTGGCATTTCCTGTGTATTATAGGGTTTTTATTCATACACTTACACTTATAGAGTAAGCATTTGTGCCCACTTAGCCATGTCCCTGGCTCCATCGTTTTGGAATTCTTCAGACACATATTAAACCTAAGGAAATGGGTCTTTTTGTTTTCGAGACAGGGTTTCTCTGTAGTTTTAGAGCCTGTCCTGGAACTCACTCTGTAGACCAGGCTGTCCTGGAACTCACAGAGACCCGCCTGCCTCTGCCTCCTGAGTGCTTGGATTTAAAGGAATGTGGAACTTCTGTATAAAATTGTAGAAGCAGATTATCTGAGAAATAGCCTTACCAGAGAAGATAAGAGGAATGTGTTGGGGGGTAGACACAAGACATTTACAATTATGGTTCTCTGCAACAGTTATGAAGCTCAAGAAATAAGGGAAAAGGGACAAACAGGCTTAGTGGAGAGCCCACTAAAAGTCTCAAGCCAATCACTGTTCTCTCTGGCAGCTATAGCGTCTGTGACCACAAATACACATGAGAACATTTCAGAGCACACACACACACACACACACACACACACACACACACACACACACACGCGCGCGCGCGCGTTCAAGTAAAACAGGGCATTTGAGTAAGCTCAGTCTATTGTGTCAGTGTCAACATTCCAGTTGCCATAGTTCTTAGATTTACAAAAAACTGAGGAAATGCACATGGAGTCTTTGTGATGACTTCTTAACTACTGCTTGCAGGACGCAAAGGTGCTAGCCACACAGATGGCTGAGGAGTCATGCAAACAAATTAAGGATTTGTTTAAAATAATTAGAGTAATTAGTAGGTCGGAGTGCAGAGGAGCATGACAAGTCACAAAGCAGTGTGTTTAGGGCTTGCTTGATGGACCTAGTGTATTCATTTAACTGCTCTACCAACTCTTGTGAACACTTATATCCTCCAAATTAAAAGAGGGGGCAAGTTCTGACATCCTGTTACAGTAAACAGAATCATAATTAACAGTACAGGGAACTCTTACATCTTTCCATCTAGCCTAACACTCTCTGTTCATATGTACAAACAAGACTCAGAAATACAGCTGGCTTCCCGGGAGTCGGGGGCACAGGCTGGCACTGCAGTCACTACATTTTGTACTGTTGCAAAGCACTCATCCTCTGAATTGAAACTTGCCCTTCTGGAGGAAGGGGTTAAACTCCTAAGAATCAAAAGGCCCAGGAACCTCTCCAGAGTTACTGGATTCACAGAGCTCATCTCCAGGGTTATACAAGCAGCACCCTGGAGAAGAGGGGCCTCCTGGATGCATCCTCTGCATGCAGGGTAGGAAGCTCCAGGGATAAGGCATCTCTAAGAAGCCAGGGCAGAGCAGCTATTCAGTGACTCCATTGCCTTGTGTCACATAAGCTCCTGAAGGCAATCCCAAACACACGCTGGTTCACCACAATGGCTTGTGGGGAATCGTTGCTTGGCTCTCCTGTGTTGCTGAAGAGATGTCTGTTCCCTTCAGCTCAGAAGTCACTCAAGGGCCGTACTAAGCCACTTCTCAATTATTACTCCAATAAATTTTGGCTGATACTCAAAACATAATAACATTTTTAGTTTAATGTTTTGCTTCTTTTCACTATGGAGCATTTAAATATTTGGATTTACTCAATTTGATATTAAGAGTTATTAGGAAGAGAACTAACAATACATCTATTTTCCTTGAAATGTTACAAA